AAAGCATTCTGAAGGACGATTTTTCCTTCCTTCATATTGACTTGTTGGTTGACCGAATGGCTGGGACACGAGATGGTCTCCTTGAACTTAATCTCGCCTGTCGGGTATAATCAGATTAATGATGCATTTGCCCAGACAAAATAGAAGTGATGGCATTTCATTTCACGGAGTGGGGAACCTACTGCTACACGCGGTCTTATGCCTTTTGGGCTCAAAAATGCCGGGCAATCTTATCAAAGGAATTGGCAATAAACTATCTTCCATGACATGATCATAAAGAAGTGTGAGGTGTATGTGGACGACATGTGTGTTGTTAAATCAAAAACAGCTGAAGAACAACCATTACCACAGCACTTGAAGAAGTTCTTCCTTAGGCTTTCAAAGTACAATTTAAAGCTCAAATCCGCAAAATGTCTGTTTTGGAGCTATCAATTCCGGAGTATCTTCTTGGGGCATATGGTCAGCCGAAAAGGCATAGAAGAGTTTTGACCCTTCAATAAGCCAAAGCCACTTTGGAAATGCCATACGAGTTATCCGGAAGGCGTGAAAAGGAGAGTTCGGGTTTCCTTGGGGAAGGCTTACAGTACATCAGTGGCCGGTTTCATTTAATCAATGGCCGATTACTTGTGGTCCGATTTCTTCAAATTAACTCAGGAAAAGGGGTAATCCAGATCAAATGGAAACGAAAGACCACAATGCTCAGATTTGTCAGACATACAAATACCTAATTGAGATAAAGGTCAATCCAACAAGTTCATCACTATATCATCCTTCTCAGAGCACCAAGTTTCCTCATATACAAGGCACACCAAGGTCCAGGAAACAACCTTGCTATTGCTACCTATCCGAACAAAGTCAAACAAGCAAGAAAAAGCACCAGAACAAACTAGAAGTACAGAGACAATAATAATAAAGAATTCAACAAACATGACAGAAGACACACATAGAGTCAGGCATGAGTGAACAATCGCATCTATAACTTAACTTATACTGCACAAAAGTAAGCTCACACCAAATGACTATGAGTTCGAGAATAAAGATCTCATAATATAACACAGACAGTAAGAAAATTATCTGCTAGGCTTCCCAGTTTGAGAACATAAAATGCATAACACAAAGGATCGGTGACTGTAAAATAAGCTAACTAACCTCTTGATTATCCTGATATACCCTGAAAACCTATATAGTATCTATGCAGATTGCATCGGAACCCCTTGAAATTGCGCATATAGTACATGAAACGGGCCGGTTACTTGACAAGCTAAAGATGGCTAATAGAGCCGCATAACACCCACCACAATGAAAAAAAACTCAGGTGTTATACCAAAAGTGCTCTTCCAGAGTCCCCATCACCCTTAATTGACGTGCAACATCTTGTTATAACACAAACGCACACCAATAGGCTAAGATAACAACGAAAAGGATGCACAGCGCCAATTCTGGCAAAACCCTCGCACTGAAAGCCCACTAACTTGAGCATCCCAATTACCTGCGGCAAATCTGTGCGTCGTGCAAAAGACGACAAAAGAAAGAAGTGGAATTTATCCCGCGCAACGGACTCTCTATATATAATGAAAACGGGAAATATAGACACTCTCGTTGGCAGCAAAGAGAGTATGACTTCATGAACTGGAAGAGCTTCGCAGAAATAAAATAAAATAAGCGCGGAGAAAGTGTCAGAAACTTGAAGTCGTGTTACACAAAAACTGCCTTTAGTATGCCAGAGATAATCCACGAATTCACAAAAGTGCAGCTAAGAATATATCGACATATAGCTAAATAACAAAACAATTAAGAAATAATGATATATAATCCTGAGTAAAGTAGAAAAGACCATATAAAAGAAAAATAAAATAAGAAGGAAGTTAGAGAGGCATATACCAAAATGAAAAGAAGAAGATAAAAAAGATGGTCACTAATATAGGGTATTCGGGATTTCCAAATATTTAATATATCAATTTTCAATAAAGACTCTAAGGATATAGATGGAAATAAATTAATGTGAAATATACGACGTAAACTTCTGTAGGTTCGCCTATTTAAGCTCAACATAATCAGCCTTGGGATGAAATCGGAACCGACCAACCTCACAGATTCGAGGATCTGTCTTTTCCATTACTTGACCCCAAGCCAAGAAACCATGTTTGTTTGATGCCCTGCTACTTTTAGCTTCCCATGGTCAAAGTAGAAGGAAAACCCAAATACATTCGACCTTTTGACAGTTTGGCAACTAGAAACCAGCAAACACCGGTAACCCGCACACAACACTCAATGAATAAACCGATTGACGTCGGAAACACAGAAACCCTTAACGCTTTTAGCAGGACGTACAAGAAATCCATTATTCTTCGGAAACGAAGGCTTTCCCCGGATGGATTCCTCGAATCGACGATCACCAAACGGAGACAATTTAGAGAACAGCCGATGTAAACCGCATCCGCAAACACACTATTTCACTTTTAAACTGCCCGGGAGTTCTGAGTATAAAACAACGAAGATTAGCGAACTCGTTTGCACCTCACGATGCCGCTAGACGATAAAGAGGGACAACAGA